GCCGCACACCCGCGCAGAAACTCGGGGATCCCCTTTACCAGCCCACCCAGGAGACGCGCCCCAAGTGCGCTGGTGAACTTGGATCTGCGGGAGCCCGAGACACATCCCCCGCCGCGCACGGAGACGTGGAGGAACGGGAAGCGGGGGAGGAGGCTGAGACAAGATCGAGCGAGAGAGGCTGGGGTCTCAGAAGCGAAGCCCAGGCCCCGGCGCGGTAAGGGGCGACCAAGGCTCGGAGGAACTGGGGACAGACCATCCTGGAGTCAAGTCTGTGCTTTACTGTACTGGAAGAAAGGAAGAAGTTGGGGACACCCGACTTCTGACCACTGGCTCTTTTCCATCCTGGCTGGCGGACTTGAGAGGAGATACCCAGTTGGGCCTCCCATCCTACCCCTCTTTGCCCCAAGACCCCAGGGCTGCGCGGCCAGGGAGTATCCCGACGTGACTCTCCTTATTTACTGAAGGCACAGACACTTCCAGCCTCTACGACTCGCTTCTCCCAACCTTCCTTGGCGGGCTTGGACCGAATCCAACTCGGCCACACACCTCAACGCTTTCCGGGTGCACGGGTAGGCGTGACCCCACTTCTCTCCGCACCCCCTAGCTGCTATGGAAATGAAGGCAACTCATTTTTAACTGCGTGTCTGTGGAGCGTGTGCCTGAGTGTGTGCCTGTGGAGTGTGTGCCCACCTAGGGGCAGCAAAGGAGAAAGACCTGGAAGGGAACCCCCAGGGAATGCCCTTGCAGTTTCCCCGTGTCCTTTCTCTACTTTTGTCCCCAAAGTCTCTTCCCAGTAGGGGATGTACACCCCTCCCCGAGGTGGCTGCGCGCGCCCGCGCGCGCACACACACACACACACACACACACACACAAAGCCCTGAGGGGAAAGGGGGTTCTTCCACCACCAGAGCGCCAGGGGAAGGGAAAGGAACGGGGTGAGCGCGGAACAACTTCTTACCTAGTTCGCAGAGTCGGCTAAGGTGATGGGGGTTGCAGCACACCAGCTCGGGGTTGATCTTCCCGTAAGATTCACAGCAACACAGCCTCTTGACTTCCGAGGAATGCCTGAGATCCGGCCACCTGAACACTTTGCACAGCAGGAGGGGGAGCGAGTAGGACGAGGGCGGCTGCGCGGGCTGCGAGCCGGCGGGCGCCCCCAGGCCCAGCCTGCAGTCCAGGCGGCCGGGCAGCAGGAGGCACGCGGTGCGCGTACCGCCGCGGGACTCCACGGCCTGGAGCAGCAGCTCCAACTGCCGTTCCTTCAGTTTCTTAAGCACTGAGTGCGTGAGCGCCTTCAGATCCGCCTCGGCGCCCCCGGCCGCGCCGGCGCCCGTGGCTGGGGGGTGGGGATGGTGGTGACCTTTGGCACCTCGGACCGCCTTGCCCAGGCAGCAGCCAGCCCTGCCCGAGCCGCCGCCACCGGCCCCATGCGCCCGGCCGTCCGTCGCCCCTTCTCCCCGCAGCTCGCCTCCTCCTCCGCCTCCCCCCGCGCCCTCCTCCTCGTCCTCGCCGCCGGGCGCACGGCTCCTCCAGAGACGCCGGACGAGCGCAGATCGTTTGGTCCTGAACATGCGGGGCGAGGAGGCGAGGAGAAAAGTCGTTTGCCGGCTAAGGAGCGAACATGACCTCCGCACACCATGAAGAAGTCGGGCGCCGAGTTGGGGCAGCAGGCGCAGGCGACAGCAGCAGCAGCAGGGGCCCGGGCAGGAGCGGCGGCGGCGGCCCGAGGGGCGCTCCGTGGCATGCGCCAGTCTCCCAGAGGCCGGGGCGCGCGCG